TAGGGTGAAGAAAGGACATAAAGTATGCTGCGGTCGCGTGTGAAAATTGAGAAATATTGTGTGGAGTGAAAAAAAAAAAAAGAATTATGATGACAATAGGAAATCCCGACACGTGGCATGGCAAGTTTTTGCCTCTTTTATATTGTATTGATATCGTCATCTAATTGTAGCTCGGGGTAGTGTGAATTTCAAATGCAATCATCCAACTTTCGACGAAATTTCAATTGAATAGTTAAATTTCAATTTATTTCAGCCTTTGTTTGATTCCTATTTTTAAGGTAAAATGTATAATGAAACAGTGATTTTTTAGAGAATGTGTAGTTAAAAAGTAAAGAAATTTTTTTGAAATGCGTGTATAATTATTCTATTGGTATGGTTGAAATTTTTTTTTGAAAAAAATGCAATGTTGAGAAAATGGGGCTCAAACATGGGCTCAATCAATAAACCTCAATTTTAGTTTCAAATTCATTTATCATGTACATGAACGGATTCATGACCGAACTACAAGTTGGTCTAAAAAAAAAATTTACAAATAAAAATTCTTTTTTACATAATTTTTTTTAATACTAAAAAATTGAAATGGGTTGGGGATCGGTCAATTCCCCCCTACATACATCCATGATCACGTGTTATCCTCCAACTTGATAAATAATCTTTGATTGGTAGTAATAGGCACATGGATCCTTAGTATTATTATTGTGTAGTATAACAATTTATCATTGTGTCATATCATGCAAATGTAAACAATAAACGTAGTGAAATAAATAGACTTCTATCATTTGTAGTATAAATACCCTTCTACAAGCCTTAATTTATCGTTTTCTTGATGATGTCATGTACATTGATGACCAGTGACAAACTGACAATATGGCTACCGAATAAGAAATTTTTCTTCAGTTTTGATGATGATACATGACAAAATGAGACATGTTGATATAGATTTAAAACTGGATTAAATTGCAATTGTAGACAAAAAAAATAATTCAATTGAAAATTTTACTTAAATTTCAAGGACTGCCAATGAAATTAACTTCCCTTATAATATTTAAACATTTGTTGCCGTTAAAAGAAAACAATTTTTGCCGGCCAAGGATGCCATTTTGTTTTGTGAACAAAATAATTGGAAAATTTGGAGTTGCGGTCCCTGACTTCTTAAACAATGCAACTAGGTCCTTGATTTCAAATTTTAATGGCACTATTTCTCAAACCTTTGGGAAACAGGAAGTCGAATGACCTTTGGACTGTAAATGCTCAAAAATCTATTAGTCTAGCATGTAAATTACAATTGAAAAATACTACTTGTACACTCAAATTTACCACCTTGATTACATAATGCACGAGTGGCAAGATTTCATAGGCCAGTAGTAACTTTGGTTTTTGTCCACCAATCTATGAAATTTTGGCAACTTTACGGGTCTGTTTAATTGCAAAGGTGGAAAATGGGTGGAAATAAAATATTTTACAAGGAATTGAATTGCCTATAAATTGTTTTATTAGGAATTGTAATTAATTGTAAGTCCCGAACCGAATCGAACCGGACCCGAACTGAACCGAACCGATCCGAGCGGTTCTTCATAAATTAAATACCCGAACGGGTACCCGAATCGATAACCGATGGGTTTGGGTTGGGTCTCGGGTCTAGACCAAGAACCGAATAAGAACCGAAACTAAATAAATTTTTTTATTTTTTATATTGAATTAATTAAATTATTTTTTTTTTACTAAACAAATTAACAAATTAATTAAATAAATCAGATTATTTCATAATTTTAATTTTAAAGCCCAAATCATTTTTAAAACCCATTAGCCCATTTTAATTTGAAGCAAATGAATTTACGTTATGTAGTGTTGCCGTAAGATTAATATCTACTTTTTGGTATTTGTATGCATTGAATTAATCTTATTGGACGGCTAGTTATTTATATGTTTTTGAATTGAGCTACGTTAATTTGCAAAAGTTACGAATGAAATGTCATTAGTTGTATTTATGTAGTGTTACTGTAAATATTAAAAAATTTAATTATGGTACGGAACCGAACCCGAACGGTTCCATAATTATATTTGGACCCGATGGGTCCATTTATTAAATACCCGAAAGTTTTGGGTCGGTTCGGGTCTCTTCAGAATCGAACTGAATCGACCCACGGACAGCCCTAATTAATTGTGTTTGATTTGTATAATTTTTCACTTGAAAAATGTTGAAAGTTTGGTATCCGTTTGACTTCGTTTTTCATGAAAATTGTCTATAAAAGTGATGATTTTTTCTACTATTGGATATAGAATTTGTTTCAATTGCCAAAAAAAAATAAAATTACCATACCGAATACCATTCGTTTGACTTTATTTTGTATGTAAATTGTCAATAAAAATGATAAATTTTTTTACCATTGCATCTAGAATATTTTCCAATTGCAAATAAAAAAAACCCAAAAAAAAAAGAAAAAGACCACGCCTGGAAAATGGATTCTTACCAAAATCTAAAGAAAACAAATTCACCATTTCTAAGAAAAACTGGGCGCGTGAGTTTAGGTGGGAAAAGTAATTCCGTGGAAAAGATTTGGCATCAAACGTTCACTAAGGACCTGTTTGATAGCACCCAATTTTCTAGGGAAGTTGGAATCCGTTTTCCATTTTTCACATTTTAGGCTGTTTGATATGTTAAATCTTTCATGGAATTCATTTTCCACCTTAACCTCATTTTCCACCAAATTCTTGGTTTTCAAGGAAAACCTTCCGGGCTACTTTTTCTATTTTATTTTTTTATTTTTGCAATGAAAACAAATTTTATGGACAATTGTAAAAAAAAAAAAAAAATCTCTTTATGCAAATGTCAATAATGCTATGTTTGATAGTTCATTTTTTCCAAAATTTTCCATGGAAATGGTTCTTTGATAGGTTTTTTTTTTCCCATGGAAAATTAATTCCATGATTGCTCCCACAAATGCACCAATTCCTCAAAATGAAGTTTAGGTGGGAAAATGGTTTCCAGGTTATTTTTTATTTTATTTATTTTTGCAATGGGCACAAATTTTATCACCAATTTTTTTAAAAAAATCTCTTTAATGGACAATTTTCATGGAAAGTAAAGTCAAACGAACACCAAAAGATCCAAAATTTCAACATTTTTCAAGTGAAAAATTATACCATTCAAATACAATTAATTACAATTCTCAGTAAAACAAATTTTAGGCAATTCAATTAACTTTAATTCATTTTCTTTCAACTCAAATTCCACATTTGTAATCAAACGGACCCTAAAGGTGCGAAAAGGAAAATCTTTTCCAACTTCCATGAAAAATGGAACATATCAAACAGGCCTACATTTTGACACCCACGTGGTAAACTTAGGTGTGCATATAGCATTTCTCATTACCGTTGCCCACTTTTTTAGAAGGGTGAAAATGTTCCTCCACCCTTTCCAACTTATAAAAAATTTAAAAATTAAAAAGAGATAAGAATTAGAAAAGGAGGAAAACATTGCCACCACCCCCGACGCACGGCTGCAATGCCAAACTAAGGTGAGCAACACCACCAACCATGTCATGCACTACCATCTTCTTCATCCTCTTCACGATCCATCTTTTTCCACCACACAGTCGACACCAACCTTCTCACAAATTCTTCTCGAGCCCTCTCTCGTCGTGAAACTCGAGGATTTCTCATAATTGGATTGTAGAGAACCCGTGTCCAGCCTTGATTGTACGTAAAATATCACGTTTTGAAATCAATCTTTTATTTTTTTCATTACATGACGTATGTCGAGTCTCATATACTTCTCGATGTGCACGTGTGTTACAACATAAAAATGGGCTAGTTTTCAGCAAGGGTCAGAAGTTTGTTAAAAATATAAAAAATGATCATTGAAGTAATTTTCACACAGTAGTAGTCATTCAAATTTCTAACAATCGTGCTAATGATCACTTGGCTGAAAGCGTCCACTTAGAATTCTACATGTCACGGTTATATTCCAACTTGGAATGCAAAAAGAAATTTAAATGAAAAAGAAAATAAAAAATGAAAAAGGAAATTCTGCTAGAGATATTAACTCAACAAAATTTATATTTCACATACAGATTTAAATGTGATATTATTATTATTATTTTAAGAAAATAAAAAGACGCCTACATTGCAATCCATATAATGCATTGGACATCTATTTTAAATTTGAAAGTCTTTCGACATCTATTTTTTTCCTACCACATCATCTTAATGATGTTCCTATCAATTTGCATTAGAGATGAAATTTTTAAATGCCTTATATTTTTTCTTATATGGCACAATTTTTAAAGAAATATGTTATTACATTTGAGATGTTTTTTTCTTATAAAAGATTGGTTGGTGCAAAGAGTTGATTTCTTTTCATTTTTATAAATTCTATTTTTCGCTTATTTGTTTTGTTATTTTATTTATTCAACTAAAAGTAAAAAGTATTTTGTAGTTTTTTCAAATGTTTGACTTCTTTATAGGTCAAACGGATGAAAATCATCTCAAAGGACCAATTTCGTCCATTAAATGAAAAGTTAGGAATCAACTGAAAATAAAAGCCTCGAAAATAAAAAAAAAACTCTCCGTTTTTCCCGAAGGACATTTTCGAGAACAACCTTACTACACTTACACATCTTGGTACACAATCTTCTACACAACCCTCTCACATGTGTATGGGTTAAGGGACTGGCATGTGTCTATTTATAGTTGGGGTTGGGGTTTTGGGGGGAAAAATTCTGAAAATGGATTGGTTTTGCAATGGCCCATTGTGGCTCCCACCCACATGTGAGAATGTCGTGTAGGAGATTGTGTATAAAGTGTATACAAGTAGCATTTTTGTTTCGAGAAACTCTTTACATTGCAAAACCAATCCATTTTCAGATTTTTTCCCCCAAAACCCCAACCCCAACCCCAACTATAAATAGACACAGGCCAGTCCCTTACCCACCGAGGTGGAAGTTTATACTGCCATACACCATAAACCCCAAACCTTATCGCCTCCTCTCTCCCCACTCATGGCCTGTTCTTCGTCCACAATAGGAGTCTCATCCGTATACCATTCTAACCCATCCCTCGACCAACATTCGAGGAAATACATCTCAATTCTACCCTTATCCCGCCATTTCAGAGCATTTTCTTCCTCCGCCGCCGCTGCGCATTGTCGCAGCAGCAAGTCGAGCTCTTCGAATTCATTTGTTCCCTCAGCTGTGGTGACTCCTAATTCTTCGGTTCTGAGCGAGAAAGCATTCAAGGGACTCGGGGAGTTTGGAAAAAACATACTCGATGTTAGTGAGAGTGAATATGAAGATTCTGAAGGTGAGGTCGGTGAGAGTGAAGCTGGCGTAGATAAGGACGAACTCGATATTGCGAGACTTGGTTTGCCTCAACGGCTCGTGGAGTCGCTTCAGAAACGCGGGATTAATCAACTTTTCCCTATTCAAGTACCTTTTTTTTTTTGAGTTTACGAGTATTTTGTTTACTGTAGGGATAATTTGATGGATGGAACGGATTATTATTCAGTCTTTATCCAGTAGTCGTATTCACTGGCAATATTGGAAATGGAAAGCTCGGAATAACTTAAAAATAGCTTTTCTGCATCGTAACTCAAAGAGAGAAATAGAAACTGAAGAGATGCATCTACTTGTTCTAGTTAATTTGCTTGGAGTGTACGTTTGTAGAAGAGTCCATCTGTCCATGCATGAAAAGGAAAAAGCTGACCTCAGTTTTTCATGTGTATTCACTGGGCATGGATTGAACTGAGTTTAATTCCTGCCATGCTGCAAGAGCTTATGTTCTAACAATGTCTATCATGTGATGCCATCTACCTTCACTTCAACACCAATGGAGAAGTGTTGGTTACTGATTTTCCAACTAGTTTAATGGTTAAGATGTGGCTGTTTTCCCTTTTGAGAATATTACTAACAGGGTATCAACTACTAATTCACAGAAGAACCATTCAGTGAATTGTGTTTCTCTATGGAAAGCTGAAAGCACATTGATCTTATTTTTGTTTGTTCTGCTGCTTTACCAAATGAAATGATGCATTTCACATGCTAGAATATTATTACCTTTTTATTTTAATTGAAATGACTATCTCGAGCAACTGTCAACTTTCTTTTACTCTAATTTTTTGACTTCTTCATTATGTGCCTCCTGACGGTTTTTATTACCTTTTGGTTGTGTAGAGAGCTGTGTTAGTGCCAGCATTGGAAGGTCGTGATATAATTGCTCGCGCAAAGACTGGGACTGGAAAAACATTGGCATTTGGCATTCCAATAATTAAAGGACTCAGCAAAAGTGAACAAGAAAGAGGTTCTTTGAGGTACATCTCATGTCATATTACATACGCACTTGTAATTTCTTGGTTTCACGAATTCAATAACGTTTCTTTTCTTGTTTGCAGGAGAGGAAGACTTCCCAAAGCGTTGGTCCTCGCACCTACCAGGGAGTTGGCTAAGCAAGTGGAGAAGGAATTTCAAGAGTCTGCACCATATTTGAACACTGTTTGCATCTATGGAGGAGTTTCATATGTAACGCAGGAGAACACGCTTTCCCGTGGAGTTGATATTGTGGTTGGAACTCCTGGTAGAATTATTGACCTGATCAACAATAACAACCTGAAATTAGGGGAAGTTCAATTCTTGGTCCTTGATGAAGCAGATCAAATGCTTGCTGTTGGATTTGAAGAAGATGTGGAGGTCATTCTGCAAAAGCTTCCATCTGAGAGGCAAAGCATGCTTTTTTCAGCTACTATGCCTGGCTGGGTGAAGAAACTAGCCAGGAAGTATTTGGACAATCCTATGACCATAGATTTGGTAAGTTTAATTCTTTGTTAGATAAATGCTTCTAAATCTTGCTTGATTAGAATTGATGGTGAAATGTTATTTGCTGTGCATTGTTCCACCACTTTTGTTAGTTGTTTGTAGTTATCTTGGTTGTATTAGGTTTCTTATTAAGAAGGTTATAGAATGAAATCTTCAAGATACATTAAGCACCTGTTTGGCTCCCATTATTTTGCATTTTTTATGGTTGAAAATTTTTGGAATAGTGATTGATGGGAGAATGTGTGGTGGAAAAATAATGAAAAGTTTTAGATTTGTGTGTAATATTATTTATTTGATGAATATGTAGTTGTAATGAAGATAGAGAAAAATTTAATGTAATTTAATGGGGGCCAAACAGGGGCTAAAATGCATCTAAGTTTACAATTCAACTCGTCCTTCATTTGATTCTTTCTGTTTTGGTTTATAGGTTGGTGACCGAGAAGAAAAGTTGGCAGAAGGGATTAAGTTGTATGCCATATCAACCACTGCAACATCTAAGCAGACTATCCTCAGTGATCTTGTGATGGTATGAGTTAGGGGCATTTCTATTATTCGTGCACTATACATTGAGTTTGAGTTGTAATCATGCGAGAGACTTGTAGACTTTCTATATAGCTTCTTAACTTTTGAATCCTCTTTCCAGGTTTATGCAAAGGGTGGAAAGGCCATTGTTTTCACACGTACTAAACGAGACGCAGATGAGGTTTCAATGACATTAACAAATTGCATTGCTTCAGAGGCACTCCATGGTGACATATCTCAACATCAGAGGGAAAGAACTCTAAACGGTTTTAGGCAAGGAAAATTCACAGTCCTTGTTGCCACTGATGTTGCTGCTCGAGGGCTTGATATCCCCAATGTTGATCTAGTAAGTTCATATGAATTGAATGACCCATTTGCGAATTCTTGCTGCATCTGTAATGTTTGCATATAGTAGCCATTATTTTGTCCCCCTGGATGATGCTGAAGCAGGGGAGTAATCTGATGACATATCAGAAATTGAGTAATTACTTTTTCCAATGATAAAAGCATAAAAGTTTTAGCCATAGGGTTATAACTTCAACCCATTCTTTGTTTCCCACCCAAAATCAAATCTGAAAAAACCCAGTATTTTTTGTATTCCTCAGAAACCCTGCCCATATCACCGTTCAACATTTCTTGGCCCACAATTGGCCAAACCACCTGGACACTCTTAGGTCATCGGAAGGATCTTGGAAAGCCACCAAAGTACAAAAGCCAGGACACATTTTCATAGTACAGTGTTGTGCGATTGTGTGTCACGCTTTGTGACATTTCTTTGTTTCTAATTTTTGGTCTCTATTCTTTCCAATATATTTCTCATGTGATATAATCATGCTATGCTACCATGCATTTTGATTAAAAAAAAAGGGCTTCTGGCTCTTGTAAATTGTTGTGAATATTATCTGCACTTCCAATAGTTACAATGATGGAGATAGTGTATTCCAAGGGAAGGGAGCAATTTTTTGGCACAATTGCGGTACTGAAATTATCCGCTTCGCTGCTGAATTGCCAACGTTATACTGGTCTCTGCAGTATGTTCGACCGTATAAAATACGTTGAATGTATCATTAGCCTTTAGTTCCAAATTTGTTGGTTTAAGCTTACATCCTTTTGTCTAGGTTTCTTCTCGAAAAAATACGTTTCTACCCTTTTGAATAATGATTCTAGATTTCTTCTCCATAAAATACCTTTCGACCCTTTTGAATAATGATCATTTGCACGAACTAGTAAATCTTATAAACTGTCAATTCTGCAAAAAAATTTGTTGTTTGTAATCTATGATCTTTTTGTTGTTTGAGATGAAGTAAAAAATTGGGTATCTGTTCCTCTAAGATCCAGGGGACCTTTGAGTAATGGTTATGTCAAGTGTGCTGGTCAATTTAAGTGTTCTGAATATAGTTGAAAATTCACTACCTATAATACGCGGTTGTTTGCTGCTTGAGATGATGCGATATTTGTAAGTATTCTGAGTTTTGAATTATTTTGTGGGTCTTTTTGGAATATTTTCTATAACACATTTTTTTTCCTATTGTGCTGCTTTTGTTTAATCCCATGAATATGGTTGGGTTTAGCAGCTTTATTGTTTTACTCGGCTGTTCTCAGAAGACCATTGCATCTTAGTAATTACTTGACTATATCTTTGACCACTCGCTTGAACTTTATGAACACTTTTCTCTGTCATCCAGATTATCCACTACGAGCTCCCGAATGACCCAGAAACATTTGTGCATCGTTCTGGTCGGACAGGACGTGCAGGAAAAGAAGGGACGGCTGTTTTGATGTTTACAAGCAGCCAAAGGCGGACCATCAAATCTCTTGAGCGCGATGTCGGGTGCAAGTTTGAATTTATTAGCCCACCATCTGTTCAAGAGGTTTTGGAATCATCAGCTGAGCAAGTTGTGGCTACCCTCAGTGGGGTTCATCCCAAGTCTGTGGAGTACTTCACCCCAACTGCACGAAAATTGATGGAACAAGAAGGAGTAAATGCTCTTGCTGCTGCTTTAGCAACTTTGAGTGGTTTTTCCCAGCCCCCATCATGTCGTTCTCTTATTAGTCATGAACAGGTACATGATGGATAGCTTTTTTCATTTTGTTGGCTAAACTCCTAAAATATGTATTTCTATGAATATGACTGCTTTGACAAATATGTTTTTAAAAGTTCCGATTACTATTGCCCTACATAGTTTTTGGCTGATTTCTAATCTCATTTACTTTCCATGACAGAAGACTTTTATTTTCCTTTACAATGATAATTGTGTTGATCTTTTCATATCTTGTTGGTTGTGAATGTGTGCTTTTGCTAAAGATGGAGTTTTATGTCTGAGCTTCTATGTTGTGTACTGCACGGATCAATAAATTGTTTCTCCATATGATTTCTGCTTTGTGATTAGTGCTGAATTTGAACTGCTGTTTGCATTGTAGGGATTAGTTACGTTACAATTGACCCGTGAAACTGGTTATTCTCGAGGATTCCTATCTGCTAGATCTGTCACCGGTTTTCTCTCTGATGTTTATTCTGCTGCTGCTGATGAAGTAGGGAAAATACACATTATTGCAGATGATAAGGTGTGTTACCAAGTTTTTTTGTTCCTTTACTGCATCAATACCAAGAAATCATGTCTCAATAAATAATTGGCCATGTGCTTTCAGCTCCAAGGAGCAGTTTTTGATCTTCCAGAAGAGATTGCAAAAGAGTTGCTGAATAGGGAGCTACCACCTGGGAACACCATTACTAAAATAACCAAGGTAAGTTTGATTTGGTTCAAAGTTTCTCAGTATAATATCCTAATATATAATTCTTTTGTCAAATTTTGATCCACAAATTTTAAGGTCCCAGTCTCAATTTAATAACATCCACTTGGCATCTTTTTATGTTATCTTCTATTTCTCAGTTGCCTGCTTTGCAAGACGACGGACCTCCAAGCGATTACTATGGCCGGTTTTCAAACAGTGATAGAAGCTCACGAAGAGATCCAAAAGACCGGAGGGGTGATAGATTTTCTCGGGATAGGTTGGATAGTGATGATGGCGAAAACTTCAGGCGAGGTAGTCGTGGCAGAAGTAGTGAAAGCAGTTGGTCTAGAAACTCTAGAAGCAGTAGCAGTGACTGGCTAATTGGCGATAGGCGATCAGGGCGGTCCCCTTCCTTTAAAAGTAGCGACAGGTAATTCTTTTCTTGCTTCCATTATAAATTTCTTACTTCACTTGATGGGTAGTTTCAGTTTAAAGAAACCAGGATATACTTCGTCTTTATTTAATATTCAAAAGCTTGTTTCCTAATAATCAGAGATCCTGATTTAGGAGTTTTAAATTACTTGATTGGTTTCAGAACTGGGATTACAGCATTTTACAAGTTTGGTATGGTACTTTTTTCCATTGGGCACAGTTTTATAATTGTCAATCAGATTTATCATTTGCAATTAGAGTTTTAACTTGTATGTTTGCACATGTCTAATCTATCTTGCATTTGATATTCATTCATATTGTATTGAACAGAAATTTTGGGGGTGCGTGTTTCAACTGTGGACGGACTGGCCACAGGGCATCGGAATGCCCTAGCAAGAAAGGCTTTTAGTAATTGTTGTTGATTTCATCATCCTCCAATCACTGCTCGTTGTCGAGCTAAGGTTACTACTCTAGCTAAACCAGCTTTTGGATTATCGGTTTCTTGTGAGAGCTAGTATCAGGTGTGGTTCAGGTTTGGGGGAAATGCTCCTGGATAATTGAAAGCTTCAACCTCTTATCTCGTCCTTGTGACATCGCATTCTAAGCACCAACCCACATGATAGCACTTATTCTGGTCAGGCCAATGATTTTGTTGCAACTACTGCCTGTCCGCCAAACAGAGTCGATTACCTTACTTGTAGTTGTAGGGTGATTATTTTGGTAACTTCAACTTATTCTCATTGTAAGGCATATAGAAATCTCTCGTGTAATGTTCAGTTTGATATCAGATTTGGATAGGCCCGTATGTCTACTAAAGGCGTTCATAGAATCAGAACATTTTAATCACTACCTCGCACTTTTATCACCGTCTTCATTTTCTAGGTTCCTTTTCCAAGCTAATTTAGCCTTTGAACACGCTTGTGTATTCAACTCAATATGGTTTCTTAATTTTTGGCTCTTATTCCTGGCTCGAGTTGAAGAATGCTAAGAGTAAGTGAGAACAAGCGTGTTTCGGGCACAGAGGTTGAATGGGATATCCCTCGATTTGACAATGACATGATTACCTTATCTAAAGATCATTATATTGTTTAATATTGTGTTTCAAACATCGAGAAAGTGAGAAACAACCAAAGGGAGAAATATGATTAACTCCTTGCAACATAACTAGAATAAAGGAGTAAAATTTCAAAAGGGTATGTTTTTCATTACTTTCATCACATTCCTTTGAACAGTACGTCTCTTATTCTTCAAAGCCTCTCTTAGACTCTAACCTTAAACCCTGTTTGATTGTCATTATTGGGAAAAAAATGTTGTCAATAATGACTTTTTGAAGAATGAGTTAGAAAGTATAGAAAATTTTTGTGTTTACTTGAAAAATATTTTATTGTGTAAATATGCAGCTAAAAATAAGTACGAGAATTAAAGAGTAATATTTTAAAGGGAGAGAAACATGTACTTCCTTGGTGCAACCCCTTTTTCCTTCAACATCTCCATCCCTCCCTTCTCCAAACCTTCATTAAACCCTCGAAAATAGTTAATTAAACGAGTGTTCGCTAAACTTATATCCAGGTTATTACTTACTTATAAAATTTTAAATGGTTACCCAATGCTCATTGAATTGTTCATTATTTTACTCAATGCTCATCATAGCTAATTTCATGTATACAGTTGGACAAATATGTTTACATGACATAAAAAAATGAGAATCATGCTACATGTATCGAATTTTTTTATCGAATCTTTTACTTACTACTCACAATGGGGATGAGGACCACATTGTCGAAATTTTTAAATACATACGGGCCCCGTGCATTATGTGATGGGGTAATCCATTATGTACAAATGGATTAACCCAAAAAACGACGTGGTAAGTTAAATGCTTGGTTAGCCATTGTCCATTGAATTTTGATGCATGTCACAATTTACTCACTATTTTTTAAAACTTATTCCATTGGCCATTTAACTTTACTTCGTCAGCATCGTGGGCAGGTATACCAACAATTTCTATTCGGTGGTCAATGGAGCTAGACGGAGTAAAATCGAATGTGCCATGAAATAAGTTTTAAAAGGATAGTGAGTACCGTGAAATTATTTTCCCCTCTTCAGGTTTTCCGTAGTTCGTCCATCTTCTCTCTATCTCGACAGGTCAAATTAGGATCTTTTGATTCTTTGCATACTTAATCAATCATTACTTTTCATCTATACATACAAATCAGATACTCATTTTTGGTGAATTTCAGAACTTCCTTTGCAAATTCCATTTTCCACATTTGTATGTTTCTGTAATTTATTTTTTCGAAGGAGATTGATTCCTTTTGTTTGAAATAGAGATAATGGCGGAATTGAGCCTGGGTATTCTCATAGATATAGTGGATGAAGAATGGGCGAGAGACACTCTGCCTGATGATGGTACTTTTTCCACTTGCAGTTATTTGGGGACTAATTGTTGATTTAATCTTACCGCATATAATTTTCCAAGTTAATTAACTCGTCCTGTACATTTCATACTTCTATAAAACTTGAGCTTAATGTTTGCCTTTTCAGATCTTCCATTACCGCCTGTACTGGCTTCTAGGACGGATGACACTGAAGACTCGAGTATGTTGTTTCCTCCATCTATCTGAGAATTTAATTGGAATTATGCAATGTGTAGTTTATTTCCATTATCCGGTGGTTATTTTGATGCCTACGTGTTCTGATGAATAATTTATGCATTCCGAGTAACCATGGGTAAAGAATATTACACAGACGCGTAGTACTGAGATTTTTCCACTAGTAACACAATTTTGCAATGGTTTTTTTATTAATCCTACATCACAACTCAAGTTTCCTAGCACAGTTTTTAAGGACGTACTTGTAAAATTGAATCACTCTACCAGATCATTTCTCAGATCAGTAGGCAAAAAGGTGGATAAACCATATCTACTTTGAAACGATAATATTATATTATAGATGATAATTTGGAAAATAGCAGTTTGATATAAAAAATGTAACTCGATACATTTAACTTTGAGTTGCTATTATCTTTGCTTGTTGACATACACTTCTATTAAGTAAGCAATTATTCTACTTTAATTGAATAATTTTCTCTATTTTTGTATGTTCTAGATGTGAAAGATATAGTTGTTAATTATTATTATTATTTTTTATGGTTTTTACGATTTTATATGTAAAATGAAATGATAGGTGACTTAGTTACTATTAATCATCTTTAGGATATTAAATGTGGTTTGGTGGTGAATACATGAGAGGGTTGTTAAGAATGTTTATATGCTCTTTTGAACTCACCCTTGTTCTTGATGGTGTTGTGGTTTTTGTTGTCAAGTACAGTAATTGATAAAATTGATATGCATAAAACATGCTGTAAATGAAACACAAAAATATTTTTCACTCAAATTTACATTAAAATCTTATACTTGAGATAATTTAGTGTTTTACTTAGGTTCAATTTTAGTGTTTGAAACTTCTAAATCTCACGAACCATATTGCTTTTTATATGTCTTTCATAGTTTTGAGCCATGTTGTATAAACCTCATGAAATATGTTTTTGCTGGTTTCATTCTGAATGAACTCTATAGATGCTTGTGCATTTTTTAGCAACGAAAGTATACATTTTTCTCTGCGAAAGGGAAAGAACTTCATTTCATTCAAGAGAAAGTAAGTATACACAGCATAACTATGATTATTAATGCTTCAGATGATCACATGATAATCGCAACTTTTCTTTATTGTGAGTCAATTCAAACTGGAGGCGTGATGTTCCAATGGCTCTCTGTATTCCCTTGTTTTTCTCCAAACGTCTCCTGATGCATCAAATAACAATTTATTAAACTAGAAAAAGTTAATAAATGGGGAGGGAGGGAGGGAGGGGGGGAGAGAGAGTTGTTTTTGCGTGCACGTGAAGTAACCACTGAAAGCTCCCTTCAATCCAATTAGCGGGCAAAACAAACGGAAGAGTTGCTCCCATATCACGCACTGGTTGAACTTAACCCTCAAAATCTTCACATTAAGCATAACAAAATGCATGAGATGGCAGCTCTAACCACTCCTCGGCCCACCACATTGGATTGAAAGGAGCTCTTCAGCTCTCTCTCTCTCTCTCTCTCTCTCTCTCAATTACATATTATTGACTATATGTGTGTCAGTGAGACCTCTCTCTCGGAAGAAGAGAGTAATTCAGATGAAGAAGTGCAAGGCAAATTTTACTAATGGGACTTGGCTCCTGCTTTATTATATACACTTCTTTTCATCCCCCATAAAAGAACTAAAACTGGTTAGAGATCACTATGAATTGAATTTGATGTAATCTGCATTAAAATTATTTGGATTTTCTGAGTCTCTTCTGATCCAGAGTCTGGAAGTTGGTCCATCATTTAATTTCATCATAACATTTTCAACAACCTGATCAAATTACATAGATCCATATGGCATCTGTTGGCTTTATTTTCGTATAAGCTGGTTTGACGTGCAGCGATTACTCAAGATGTTGTTTTTTGTCGGCTTTTGCCACTTTGCCAGAAGAAATTTAACAGATGCAGTGACATAATCTGATGTGGAAGCAGCCGATTTGATGGAAAAATTGAGCTGGGTTATGTCAAGGCATCTGGCAATGTAGCATGATTCTATTTTGTTAGTGTTTTCTAGAGTTAGTTCCATGCTGAATTCAAATTTGTTAACAGATCTGGAGACCCAACCAGTTGAGGTGGACACTTGGCATGATCTTGCACTGGGTAACCAGTGAGATGTCCAGCGAGGAAGGAAATATCATAACTGTGTTTGCGGAACCTGGCTTTATCCTGCAGATTATAGCTTCTACACCTTGATGTTCGGACAATTGCAGAATTGTTGTAATTATTGATTTGCTACATATTTTAACTCGAACATATACAAGACCCCAGCGGCTATGTTAGTGCATTGGTGATGGTTGATATTTTGCATGCTTTTGTAACTGCGCTTTTGCGGATGACATGCCCCTTCCACTTTCTTGGTACTACATTCTAATATTGTCCACAATCGATTCTCGAGGATCAAATTTCTTGAATTTGCACAGGAACTGATCCTGAATGATTAGTTAGGACGTGTTTAGTGCAAAATATTAAAATGAATGCATCAAAATTTGAAATCATTCTTTCTTATATAATTTTTAGTATTGTCCAATTGAAGATTTTAATGAAACAATTAAGCAATTGATTTGCGATGCATGGTTGACAATTTTCAGCAAGATGACCTTCAGTTCCATTTGAAAATGCTGAATTAAAATGCTACAGAAGCAGATGTACCAGTTAAAGAATTCAAGTCTCTGCCCAACTGTTCCACATTTCGATTCATTGTTTCACAAGTTAAAATAACGTGCTGTTAAACTCCAAGGTATTTAAACTTGTATTTACATTAACCAAGTAGATATAATTGTCAGTGAAGCGAGCAGTAGCTGATGACGAACACCATCTGGAAAGAAATTTTCACAGTAGCAAGAAGTTAGTACCAAAAGAACCCTAGATGAGGCTAAATAAGAACGAATGTATGGGGGAGTTTCAGAGGTGGTTTTGCCGGATATCAAATGCCAACACTGCATTGATTTGTTTTAATCTGTTTTTTTCCATCATCCAATCCAAGAATGCCACCTCTCCCTGTGAAACTCCCCTTTACGTATCGCTTTTTTTGCTAAATGATGTAAAGCTCCCTGGGCCCTATTCAAGAAAATCATCAAACATTTTAAAAAAAGTAAACTATCATTATACAAGCAAATCACTGGGATCAACAGTCAACTTATTACCTTAGCTCTAACCAAAACACTAGCTAGAACATTAAGTAGAGCAAACAGCAAAGAAAACTGCCAGACTACTTTCTAAGGGGTTTCTGAGGAGGTGCTGATGTGAGAAGCATCAACTGAATCCCCAGAGTTCAGCAGCGGCTGATATTTACTTGTATCTGGAATGTATGAATAAGCAATCAGTGAAGCCCCAACGGTAATGGACAGTCCCAAACAACTCCACAACAACCGACGAGGACTTCTTTTCCTTTGTTGTTGCCTCCGTGCAACTTCTGCAGATTTGATAAAAGGAATGATTAAACGAAAAAGATTGCACATTCTAAAATCGATGCAAAACTGCATTCTTGCTTGTACTTGACCAATAATAAGATAAACCAACGAATGGAAAAGCCAGAAAAACTAGTAAATATTTCAAATGCAGATTGGAAAAACAATTCAGCTAAAAAATATAAGGAAAATGTTTCAACTTTTAGATTGCTAATATGACTCAATGGTATGAAATATGTGATGTGAAATAAAAGTTTCGCAAGAAACATCACGAGAACTTTGTTATTCGTCCCAAAATAAAAACACTCAAAAGATTTTGATCCATTATTTGTTGGTCCTCAAATGTGATCTGAACATGGAAGAAAGTTGGCATATTCTCTCGGTTCGAAAGTTTATAAATAGAACTGTAAGTACTCCACGCGACTCTCATTCTCTCAGTTATTTCCAACTTTGATCAATAAAAATAAACAATTTAAGCTTAGCCAAACATGCTAACATCAAAAGAAGTGGCTGGTACTAGAATGTTTAATCCCTAACCTTTCCAAGATGAAAAACAAAACATAATTTGTGAAAACATACCAACAAGATTTCTCTGGGACATCTCATGATTCACTGTCTCATAATACAGCAGTTTGTCTTGTAATCGTGAGATCTCCTGATCTTTGGATTCAAGGATTGCGTTAGCAGCAAGTTCAGCTGCAGCACTTGCCTCACCTCTACCTACTGCTTCAGCCACAAACCTAGCAATGATAACTTCTTGGGAGAACTGATCCATAGAATTGTCCCCGAGCTGCATACTATCACTAACAGTTGGAGGTGCAGGAAATGTTAACCCTGCCTGAGATATAAGATTACTGATTCTCTCCCACTGATAGCACATCAACTTAAGATTTTCCTCTGCAGTCTTTCGCCTTTCGATTTCCTCAATAAGACTGAGCTGTGTGGCATGCAAGTCTGCTGCACTTCTAAGACCATGAGAAGACCCGCTTGAAGAACTGGTGGAGAATTCTGTATGAAAGTGAAAACATGTCAAGTTAACAGCAATTCAGTTTGCTATATAAGCAACAAATGAAATAGCAGGCATATTTGTTCTCTTCAATTGCTCAGGGAAGTCATCCTATACATGATCTAAAAAAACTTCTAAATTGGACATCTACTTTTCCTACATAAAAATGGACTTCAATCAAGAGCTACGACAGAACTAATCATATTCCGAAAGATAACTCTGTTGTGGATAAGCAACATAATTTTTTCCCCTTTTCAGTCACTTTTGACTAGATGAAAGTTACACTACTTTATAGAAGTTAACACACTTAACGTGTCTTCTTCCTGATTATCTTTCAATCGTTGTGTGAATTGGTCCCCTTTCTAAGCCCTTCCATTTTCCCCCATTTGGTGCCCACACAAAGAAAATACCATCCAATGCATTCAGCATAGCAGACAACAGTATACTAGATTAATTGTTTACTTATCTAATCAGTTTGCTATTTACCTTATTCAACGAATTATAAATCTATATGTGGTTAATAAAACAAAGAATCTATTCTCAATATCCGAAATAAAACACATTGCTATCATATATGCAGTAACTTACTGATTCACGTATTGCAGAAAATTATATAGCTCCTAAATTATTTACTGTTCTACGAGTCCCAACCAGGAGTTTGACATGGGACTCACCAATTATATGTGCCATTCACAGAACTAGAAACGTGTAATACCATAACACGATGCACCTAGGCTAATTATCATTAGCTAAAGACATTAAAGTTACCATCATTTGCATCGAAAAATACCCCTTGAGCAGACTCAAAGCTCCGGCTTTCGATTTGCCTTCCTTCACAATCACTTACCTCGTCAAAACTCCCCACGCTCAACCGGTCAATCCTCGGATCGAAAAATCCCTCATCATCATATTCACCATCGTTGTCCGCCTTCGAACCCTCGCTCTCATTTACAAAACTGTCCACCACCCCCTCCTCCAAATTCAAATCATTTCCGTCTTTTCTGGGGGTCAGATCCTGAGCATCATACTTTTCAACTCTCCGCCTACAATTCTCACCCCCACCGCGTCTCTTGTGGTTGACGACATACGGCGAAGGCGAGGACGGATTCGGGGAAGAATTCCGCGGAATCGAAGCCGGTTCCGGCGTCACATAGAGAGCCGGCGATATATATATGTGCCTGGAGCCTCCAACACTCGGATTCGCGCTCGAGTCCTCTCTCCGTTCAGTTGCTTCGCTATCATCGTTCGACACTCCATGGTTAGGCTTAGGAGGCTTTTTGCAGGAATCTCGGACTCCAGGTTCCAGCAAATTCTCTAAGGCAATAGCTGTAAAAGTAGGCATCTTAATTCGCAGAAATTAAAAATTTTCCTCTGCGTTTTACGCCGCCATATAGGGAAAACAGTGCGGCTGTGGTGTAGATGTACATGGAAACTGGGGAGGGAAGGGGAAAGGGTTTTATGTTCCAATGAATTTGGAATATCTGAATGGGACACACGTGACGTAGGCTTTGGCTTATGCTTTAAGCCCAAGAAAATGTCTTCGTGTTTGTTGTGTGGGCCTCCAAACCACGATTTTCAAACTTGTCCACGAATATTCGCGTTTTCTTCATTCTTTCTATCAATTCAAACTTTGAGATGGTCAAAGCGAAAAGTGTGTTGAGTTTGTTCACAAAGCGTGTGTTTGGAACCCCTTTTTTGGCTCAATAACGGATTTCTCCTACAGTAGAATGAGACATGCGTCCCCAAAGTCAAGCCTTCTGTCAGGAACCCATGTGCAAACCTTACCTCCCGTTACAAATCATTTCCATTTTTGCCCCCTTCTTCAGCTTCTGCAATCAATTTCGATTCCCAACCCATTCCAACGACTCCTCTGCAATTACCCTCGTCAAACCGTAGCAATCGGCGAGCTGCGACGTCGCGACCGGATCCTCTGCCTGAGAAAAACCAGATCCGTCACTTCGCTTTGCATCCAGGTACGCACCTGCCCTTTTGTAACTGTGCGAATCGACGTTTTCCCTGTTTTCTCACTGCCTTCTCCCACAACGCTTGCAGGGCTTCGATCCAGAAAGGGGATCTCCGGCACCGCAACCGGCTTCCACCGCGCAGATCTGTCCGGATTCCATGGACCACGAATTCTCGCCGTGGCAACCTTCACCGAACCAAACGGTAAGCCATTCCACCCATTTTCCCGCTAGCAGTATCCTCTGTCCATGTGCTACCCGTTTATACCGTTTTCGTCATTTGTTTCACATGGGCATGACTCCAATTTGATGGACTTGTACATACATTCATGTCGACCCCTGGATGCGTTGGTGCCCCTGAAATCTTGTTGTGGATATTCGGAAGTGGTGCTTGTAAATGACTTCATGTTTAATTTCTCAATTCCTGCCTCCTGTGGTTGTTCCCATGGCAGCAGTTCACAAGTCCCTGCCCACAAGATTTCCACCCTCCTTCTTCCAAGCCGCAGGCAGCCCCGGGCATGGTGCGGAAGACTGCGAGATGGAACCAGCTGGAGCACAAAGCCTTCATTGACACTTGCGAACTTGTCATAGCTGAGGGTCACCGACGAGGCAAATGCTTCTCCTCGAAAGGATGGCAACGAATATCAGACCTGTTCAACTCGTCGACGGGGAAGGACTGGACGACAACGCAGATGAAGAACTACTGGAATAAACTGCGCACGGATCACAAACTTCTGTTTGAGTTGTTGCGATGCACTGGAATTGAGTACTGCTCGGGTACGGGAAGAATTCACGCCGCTGACCATTGGTGGGACGCAAAAGTGAAGGTATAATATTTCGGTTAATGCACCTGCAAATTCGGAACATAATTGGTGTTTTTAAGAATTCAGCAAACTGCCACAACATAGAGTGTTCTGGCTCGATATATCATTTTACACATAGGGGGTTATTATTTTCCAAATGCCTTGTGTAGTTCACATCCTTAATGTTTGTTGTCTTCGTAATATCTTGAACATGATGTTGGTTGTCCTAGTATTGAAGAAACTTGATGTTGGTTGTGTTGGATTTGATAGATTCTTATGTAGGTCGTGTTGGTATTGGTAGAACCCATTGTTTGTTGTGTTCGGAATGATTGAACATCATGTTGGAATGGTTGCTATTGAGTGAACATATTATTATTCGTTCCGGTATGTATTTGAAGCAATGGTTCCATGTCGCCTACGCACGATTTTTGAATTTATTTCGGACTCCCACGTCATTTGTCTTCTACAAAATTGTTTGCAGGAGAACCCAAAGTACGCGAAGTACAGGAACTTCGACTGCAGCGAGATTTATGACACGTACGGTAGATTGTTCGGGGACACTGGAGACTCGACCAAGTATGCGTTGTCCCCGACGAAGTTGTCGCACCGTGGTTTTGATTTGGGCACAGATAGCGACAGAGAGTATGGAGGTGACAAGTTGCCCATAAACGCGGAAGCCACAGATTCAAGTGGCAGCCCAGTCGAAGGTCGAACACACTCCTCCATGAATATATCAGCACACCACAGTGGCGATAAAAGAAAAAACAGGCAAAGGAAGGGGAAAGCAAAGAAGAAAATGTTTGGCGCACGAGAAGTTTCGGCTTCTCTTGAACAGATGGTTAGTGTTGGAACGGATCTTGCGTCAATTGCCCGCTCCTATCGTAAGGGAGGAATGACAATCGAGTCATGCGTTGACGAACTGCTGTCGTCTGGCCATGTTCAGGAAGGTGATCGGCTCCACCTCTTCGCCTTATGGTTCCTCCGGGACAAAGACAATCGGAACTCCTACTGTGCTGCGAAGACACCTGACATGAGATTTAAATTCATCGAGTACTGTTACGAGCGAGACAATATGTCCATTAATCGTAAGGATTGAGCGCTCCCTCTAGACGTTTGTGATGAGTTAGTACTGTTTTTCTACTGTTGTGTTTGGACGATTTTATGTGTACTTCACGTTTGTTACTTTTTCTTTGTAGTTATTAGTTCGTGTCTCGTAGAACCTCCGCCTTTGCGTTGTAATATGAATTACCATGTCGATTCCACTACCTTAGCACTTTTTCCCATTGTGTTGCCGAACTGTTGTGACAGTCAAGCTTTCATGGACTGCTACTTAAATATTGTTAACAATCACGATTTAAACTTTCTTGCGTGGTACAATGCCATCGATTTTCCAACACCACATTATTACGCACACCTACAAAAACTATTACTGTTTTCAACAAAACAAATTACACATCCATGATTAAAGTGAATGCAGGGAATAAAAAATGTTAGGGTAAAGACTTTATAGCATGGGTCAAGTATTAGGGCCACCTCAGGCATGCCCTTTATTAAAAAGATTACATGAGTCAAAAGTATTCAGGGAACAATCACAGCTTTGTAGAATTTCTGGCATGCTGCAAGTTTTAATTTTTGCACCGCAACGCACACTATTACTTCCACCCAGTTGATTGACATTATTACACATCTATTACAATAGGTCGTACAGCGCAACGAAGACACAAGTGTGCACATTATTTCTTCACTGAGAAGATTCCATTTTTGTAGATTCACAAATTCACATTATTGCTGGTGCCCCTGTGTTTTTTTTTTTTTTTTGACACCTCACATTGGTTTTTTTATTTGTAAATGTTTCGGAATTCGGCTGTGAAGGGTATGGAAACAAATGTCGATGAATACCTAGCGCGTGGGAGGGTTCGTTTCCAATTTTCCCAATATAGGCAATTACATCAACCATTTAGATCAACTTTTACAAAACAAAAATAGCAAAGGAGCTGCAGACCCTAAATAATGGTGCACACTATTTCTTGGCATAAATCATTTCATGTTTTTTTTTTCCAAAATGGACATTATTCCTCCCACCCTCGTGATTCATTAGTGCAGCCGAATAATAGGGCATAGGGTGCAGGGAATAATCAATTGCGAAGGGATAAACAAGCACATTATTGCTCACACTAATTTGCATGACCTGTTAAACAAGACAAGGGGCCATGTGCTGAAAGGAATATATTTCTATGTATTTGTAGTGGAGGTTCTGTCATCAGTACCATAGGTTCAGTAAAACATATAGGACATATCATCAATTCCACGCACAGAACTTGAAATTATTAGTACTCCTGTTGTTGAAGTTTTATAAATTGCTTTTGCACGAGACAAGCAATATCGTGCGTAAATCAAAACGATGTCTGATACTTCAGATGCGTACACATCGTCGGAAACAGACTGCGACGTTCGGTCGATGTCTGATGCGGGTAGTGGTTCAGATGAAGATATTTCGGAGCAGTTGGAGGATGACATTAACACTTGGCTTATCAAAATTTTTCGAAATTTTATATCAAAAAAAGTCATATCCCATGTAAATTTTCGGATGTAAAATTACATGGGATATGATTTTTTTTTTTTGACGTAAATTTTCGATTGTAAAATTTCTCCCAACTTCTTTGAAAGTTCCATTGTGCCCCCTGACTTGTATGGTCTGCATCCGCCCCTGCACTAACTCATATCGAAAAAACGAACAATTGCACAAGTTAAGACATGAAATCATAAATTTGGGCTACATGCAAACAGAGAATATGATCGTTCTAAATGCCAATTTATGAATCTTAAATTGAACCCTAAAAATCTAAACCCTAATCTCTCTTCACCGACGACGGTTGATACTACCGGTGGTAGTGGGGAAAAACTACCGGGGCTCACACAAATAATTCGAAAGCTCAGTTCACGTAATAGTAGTTACAAAACTAAATAGTAAATTCTATTATGTCATCATCTTAGTATTGAAATTAGAAGGAAAAATACGAGAAACATTGATGACGGACATGGACCTGGACGACCTGTTGGTTGTCCTGATGCAGGGCCCATCTCGACCTTCTCGGTTCGCGCCAAAGGGCTCCAAGTTCAAACCCAAACCCAAAAATGAACCATCTCAATCTGATTCAGTCGAATTATTACCAAATGAATCTGATTCCAAGGAAATACGTGGAAAGGGCCAATTTACTACCCCATATTTCCACTTTGCCTTTGATATAGAATTAAAAAAAAAAAGCGAAAAAGTTAAAATATAACTTTACACAACAAAACGTCAAAAATACCCCAACTCTCTCTCACAACCAAACCGATCGCCTCTCACACCAAAAATCGACGCCGACACTGACCGCCCAAATTGACCGACGAAACCACCAAAAAAGTCTACAAAACCAACCACGAAGTCACCAGCGCCGACAACCACATAGAAAACCCCGTCACTGGCAAAAGAGAAGATTAGTTTTTGTGATTAAAATCGGGTTTTTTCACATAAGGAATTAGAATGATTTTTACATTTTTTTAAAAAAAAGATTAAAAATATTCAGCTTTTAACAGGAATTTAAAAAAAAAAAAAGCGAAATAGACAAAACAATCGACTGTTTGCTGGCTATTTAAATAGCCCACTGGATGTTTAAACCGCCGACCGGATATTTCTCATCAATCCATTTCGTCTGAAAGATGCAGATAAATTTTTTTCTCGTTCATGTTTAAAAAAATATATAGATCTGTTAAAATTTTTTATCTACATTAACTATCTATATCGAAATAAATTTAACGATTAAAACGTATATTGATTTAACGNAAATAAATTTAACGATTAAAACGTATATTGATTTAACGAAAACGAAATTAAACATATATAAATGTACTTACCGATTCGAAGTGATTGATGTAAAAAAAATTTAGGCTTCAACGTTTGATAATTTTTTCAGATTTTAAGGTTAAAACATATGAAAGATGAGAGAGATTTTATTTGTGTTGATATAAATAGATAACAAAAGTTAGTTGATTTCGAAATTTTACGTGAGAAGTGTTTGATTTTTATTTGTTTACTAAATGGTAGTATTGTCTTTTAAACAAAACAATATTTTGTAATTGTTTTATATACTTAAAGACGTTTTTGTCTTTTGTCATTAAATAGAATGAAAATATGACACTTTGACTACCAGGTTACCTCGACCCCTAAGGGCTCCAAGTTCAGACCCAAACCCAAAAACGAACCATCTTAATCTAATTCAGTCAAATTATTACCAAAGGAATCTGATTCTGAGGAAATGCGTGGAAATGGCCCATTTACTACCCCATATTTTCACTTTGGCCTTTGACCAATAAATAAAATTTAAAAAAAAAAACGAAAAAGTTAAAATATAACTTTACAAAGCAAAAAGCCAAAAATACCCCCACTCTCTCACACAGCCAAACCGACTGCCAAACCGATCGACAAAACCACCAAAAAGTCGACAAAATCGACCACGAAGTCACCGGCGCTGACAACCACATAGACAACTCCTTCACTTGCAAAATTCTTTAATTAAATATTCTTTGTAAATTAATCTTTAATTTTTTCAAATGTAATTAAATTATATATATATATTGTTTATTTAATTTTAATATTTTCCTTTTGTTTTATTGTTTATATTTAAAATTAAATAAATAATTTTAAAT